ACCGTCAGTTCCGGCATCTCCAGCACGGCCGGCAGGACCAGCAGGACCCGGGGGACCCATTTCACCATCGGGCCCGGGAGGGCCGGGAGGTCCACGCTCTCCCTGTGGTCCTACAATCCCGGGTTTGTACTTGGTTGGTCCAAACGGAGCTGGACCCTTTACGCTCTAAAAATCCACACGCACACACAATGCCATACTTCAGTAGGAATCTAGTGAATGGTATAAACCTGATTAAAAATTTTCAGGTTAATGCCTACCGGGTCTGCTGCCTCTTCCGCCTGTCGTGCCACGCGACGTAGATCATCTGTAAGAAACAATGAGGATCATTACAGGTAATCATTTGCCCGGCTTGGTCACAGAAAAGATCGGTTCTGGCATTTAAGTGGGTATTATTTAATTGGTCGATAGGATACATTTGTAGGTTCTCGTCCTCTTGTGACCGATCTTGATACTGGATTATAATGCAAACCATCTGCGTATTCGACTGCTGTCCCGAATCACCAGCACGGCAGATAAACCAAAAGTTATCGGTATTACAAAATTGATAGTAACTTGCCGGTCGTACTCACAGAAAAAGTGCGCCTCTCGTGCAGGTCGATGGAATTTTGTCCAATCCACCTCAAAAAGAGGGGACTTCTCACAAACATGGGTCATTTATGTTCCAGGGAAGCATTGTGATCGAAGCCAGTGGCCAGGCACTATTGAGAACGTACATATGGGACGTAAACCTGCTTTCCAGTGCGATCAAATGACTGTTTCGGAACAGGGACATTAATAACACGCGAAAACACGAGTCCTAGGAAATAATTGGGAATAAGCAGATGCGGTCACTGGGGCAAGAATTTTATTCGCAACGATTCCAAATTTTGACGAGCGTTTTCGTACGTCAAAAACGTCTCGGAAGCTGTCGGCCGCCTTCTCGCACAACTTGGAGTTGGAGTCGCACACAGGCCGGAGGCAACCATAAGATGTCAGATAATACAATCAAAAGACCCACCGCTACTGCCAAAAATATCGGGAGTTGTCTATAGTATCTGGTGCAGTTACGGACAAAGCAACTACGTCAGCGGAGCTGGAAGACTTTTCAAGGCGCGAATTGCCGAACACGCGGCAGCAGTGCAAAGAAACGACGGCAATTCTCAAGTTGTGGCTCAGTCGACGAGACCCGAACACACGTTCAAGTTTGATGAGGCTGAAAGTATCGCGAGAGGTAACAACCGCGTGAGTCACTAATTACTTGACTCATGGG